AACCCGCGCCGGCGGGCGGCCGCAGTTCGGCGGCCTCCCCAGCCTCGCGCGCTGCAGCCGCAAAGCTGACCAGGGTTTTCCGGCTCCCAGGGAGGTCCTGCCCCTTTCCGCCGACGGCCTCTGTAGCCCTGGGGGCGGGGCCTCACACGGGGCGGGACCCGTCCGGGGCGGGGCCTGTCTGGGGGCGGGGCCTGCCTGGCTGCGGCACTTCGGCCTTCTTGCACTTCCCGCGGTCGCTGCTCCTTGAGGTTCCTCGCCCTTTGGTTACTGTGACCAAAGGGGAAAGACGCCCCCCTCCAGGCCGCAGGGCATGCTCTGACGCAGCAGCAACCCCTGGAGACCGCAATCACGGCCCTCCGCCCACCCCTTCACCACCCACCACTTAATCCCAAAGTGGGGGAGTGAAGCGGACATCCAGCTGGCACTGATTTTTACCACCCACAGTTTCTTGGACCTGTAGGCGTTCATGGCCGGGTGCATTCGCCCAAAGAAAGTTGCAGTCTGCGGGAACCTAGGTCTGTCCTCTGCGCAGGCGGGCTGATGTCCCCTATTCACAGCCCCACGTTTTGTCCCCAGCTTTTATGAAGCGTGAGCACCCTCCTCTGACCCTAACTGGACGCGCTCTCCCTCAGAGTCCCAACATTATCTGACTAGGCCTAGTCAAGTGGTGTCTTCTATTTTGTATATGCCCAGTCACCCGACAGAAGGTGCTTCAGGGACAAGACTAGTGTTGCGTACACCTTTGCGCAACACTGCAGGTGTGAGAGATAATCTATTCAAAATGTCCGGAACGCTCCAATCAACACCCCCCCCCACTGCCCCACTATTTGTAAAACACCCCCCCAAAGCCCAGAAGAAATACTCCCAGAATATTTCCGCAGTCTCCACAAGGCCCCCTACCTCCTCTTTGTCGGATCCTTTGATCTGGTCTCTGCACACCTCTTTTCCCCCAGTTTCTCCTTCTCTTTGGTCTGCCATTTCTTTAGACATCTTCCTGACGACGTGCCTCCACTGCCCACTGGAGTCACTTGTGGCTAGACCGGGAAGTGGTCTAGAGAATGATACCTGTAGCGCATCACATTTTCTTGGATATGGGAAATGGAGGGTCCCTGGGAGAGAAATGAAGATTCAGGTGCTAAGTGCTGTGTCAGGGTAGAGGGAGGAGAGGAGGAGGGGGGCCAGTGCCCAGCTGATGTCAGATTTTCAAATGAGCAGGGTCTCAGGCAGGGAGTACAGACGCCACTGCAGGGGCTGTCATAGGCCCAGACCACCCCATTTGAGGGGGGAGTCTGCCTCGGCCTCAACGCCTTTGGGAGGGCTCTAGCCCAGACTCCGGATGCCTGCAGTGGGGGAGGGTAGGCAGTGAGACAGTAGCAGTGGGGGTGTGCGCAGGGGATGCAGGCAGCAGCTAGGCTCCCCCACTGGCCAGGCAGTTGGTATGCTCCAGGATCCGAGCAGCTCCTTCTAGCATCCTTCATCCTTCAGGTACCAGCCATCCAGGCAGTTCTTGAGCTGCAGAAACTGAGACTAACCTTAGAAGGACCTCTGGCCTGACCCTCCCCAGTAGTCTTGTCTGTATAAGCTGCTTCTGCACCTGATACTTTCAGCGGCCACTCCCCGCAGGGTGGGGCACCCATCCCAAGAAGGTTTTGGTGCCCCCAACTGATTCTACACCCTAGGGCTGTTGCCATTGTCTTTCGCTCCAGGTAAGTACAGAGAAGCCTGTTTTGCTCCTGTTGGGGCTGAAGGGGGCAGATGCGGGTGATGCGCCCTCATCATCAGGGTGGGGCTCCTTTTGGTTGAGGGTTTTTTCACACCTGAGACTACACATGGCTTAAAGAGCTTAAATGATTTGTATAATACTTAATGACCTATAACTCGGACCATATGGGAATCTGGGGAGCTTCTCATCGTACCCTCTCCATTTTTTTCCCACTAAGGTGGACAGGGATGAGACAGGCCACTCGAGGAGGGTGTGGATGAAAGGGGAACAAAATATTGGGGCAGGACCCCAAGGCTGGTGAGGAGTGAACATGGGTGGGGAGGCCCTTCAGCTAAGACTGCTCTGAGCCGTCCTTTTTCTTCCAGGATGAAAGGGGAAACCCCTGTGAACAGCACTATGAGTATTGGGCAAGCGCGCAAGATGGTGGAACAGCTTAAGATTGAAGCCAGCTTGTGCCGGATAAAGGTGGGTGGGACCCTGGCTCCCCTTAGCTGGCCAGCTCGGATGGAATGAGAGGCTTTCTTTTTTTTTTTTTTTTTAACCACCTGAGATCGGGGGAGGAGTTTGGGGCTCTGCCAGAGCTTCCCCAGATCTCTGTGGGGGGATGAGGTACAAGATGGTCTCAGGAAACCCTAGAGATGCCAAAGGAAGGCCGCCTTGGGGAGGGAGGCTGCAGGCCCTTCCCGGGATCCTGGCGAGCGACCCCTCTCCTGGCTGCGCCGCAGGTGTCCAAGGCAGCAGCAGACCTGATGAGTTACTGTGACGCCCACGCCTGTGAGGATCCCCTCATCACCCCGGTGCCCACTTCGGAAAACCCCTTTCGGGAGAAGAAATTCTTCTGTGCCCTCCTCTGAGCTGCCCTGTCCCTCCGACCACTGCTCAGTCACGTCCCCTCTCCGCGGCCCTTCCTTAGGTCAGTAACTGCCGCGAGCCCCAGGCTGCCCCTGCAGCCCTCTCCTGGCCCCTGCCCACCCCGCGAGGTGATCCAAGCACAAAGCCCTCCCTCCTCCACCTGCCGTCCCCTTTCCTCACCCTCTGGGCGGAGCCCCAGCCCGGGCGCCCTGCGCTCCACCCACACGCGGGCCCGGGCGCACTGCGGCGTCTCGCCCGCTCCCCTCTGACCCGCTGGGACCGTGGAGACAGGGAGGGGCGGGTGCTTGCTCTCTTTCTCCCCTGGAGCCACTGGAAGGGTAAAGCCATGTGAAGAATAAAGTCATCGGAGCCTCAGAGGGCGGCTCCTGTGTTAGCGTTCTTGGGGGTGAGGGTCGTCAGTGCGCTTGCCATACCCAGGGCACAGGGCCCGTCACGGGAGACATTGGCAAAGATCGCCGGTCGGCGGGACCGGGGGATGGCGGGCGCGACAGCGTCTCCAGTGGAAGAGCTAAGCTACGACACACACTCGGAGGCAGCGGAGAGCATTCACACTCACGCGCTTCCGGGCATGCACACACGTGTGCCCAGGTGTTTCTCAAGTCACCAGGTCTCGACTCGAACCTTGCGGTCAGCCACGTGGCCGCGGCGCGGCGAAGCGTGGCCCGTCACCGCGAAGGGGCGGTCTCGTGCCTAAGATGGCTGCGCGCACAGCCGCTCTCCTCCCAAGATGGCCGCTACCACGCTGGGCGCCGACATGGTGGTTTCCGCGCCAGGGCGTCTCACCGTACAGGGTTTCTCTTAAAATGGCGGCCCCCAAACCCCCGGCGTTCCCAACATGGTCCTTTCTGTGATCGTCTGGTCCCAAAATGGCTGCCCTCCTCCAAGCAGTTGCCCACGCCCCCCCACCTCGGAGTCTGGCATCCGAGTGGCTCCTGATGCCGCCGAAGGCTCGCGGGCAGCTCTAACGAGGGAACACGGGACAAGGGGAGCCCCAGCAGCACAGTGCTCCGGGCGCTGGCCTAGTGGGCCTTGCGAGGGAACCTAGGTTTCCATATCCTGCCGAGCAGAGGTTCCCTTTGGAGCGGAAATACAGGGGAGGGGGCACCCACACCTCACCGCGGCGCGCTGATCCTTGCTCGCTTCCTGGTCTCCCCGGAACAGGACAAGCTGAAATTGGGTATCTGGGTATCCAACTGGGCCTTGCTTTGCTTTTATTTCCCCCCTCAAATATAGTCACACCCGCCTGAAAACTCCGCGCCCCTCGGGTGCCTTACCACCAGCTACAGGTCCAGCCTACTGCCTGGCCCGACTAAACCTAAGGTTTGACGTTTCAGCTGCCCTGACTCAAACTTGAGGGTTCTGGAGGCCCAGAATGCTTCCTAGAAGCCTTTTCCTTCCAAGGGTGAAGATAGTGGAAGTGGACCGGGGCCAAGGGCAAAGGAGGTAACAGTCCCAGCATGTGTGCTTCTTACGGTCTTGGAAATGGAGGTCATAGGCGAGCTCGGTCTGTGCTTTCACATACTTAGGGGAGGTTGCTTTTTTTTTTTTTTGGGGGGGAGAGATTTTCACTATAGGGCGCGTGCGCTCGCCAGACAGACAGAGAGAGACATTAGAGACAGAAAGCGAGAAATCACCCCCAGGGTGGATGGTCACGCCGCAATCCCTTCTCCTCCATTCTCCTCTCGGGATCTTGGGCACACACGCACACGCGCCCGGCGTGAGTTTTAAGTCACCTGGTCCAGGACGCGAATGGCGGTCGACTACGTGGGAGTCCAGCGACATAGCCATTACGCTAACTGCTGGTTCCCAGGAAAGGTTGCTTTGCAACACTATGAGGGTGAACTTTATTATTTTTTTAAAGAATTATTTAATTCCATTTATTCATTCATTTAATTTGGCCAGAGAGGGAAAGTGAGAAAGCAAGCCACCAGGTCCAGGACTGAAACCAAGATCAGCCACGTGGGAGTGTCCAGCGCCTTGGTCACCAGGCCATTTACTGGTCCCCAAGGGTGAACTTTATTAAGGCAACCCATCACCCTCAGCTTCCCCACCCTTCACACAGGAAGACAAGGGGAGAGAGCAACGTAAAAGGCGCTCTATCAGAAACTGAACTTAGTCCAAGGATGTTTTTATGGCTCCCGAGGTACCCAATAAACTTGACATCTTCAAAAATACCTTTTTACTATTGATGGAATTCTTCAGTCCTAATTCCCTTATCTTAGAGATGAAGAAACAAGTAACCTGGTTGTCCTGCAGTGGAGGACCTACCCATTCTGTTCAGAAGCCTGTTCCTTCCTGATACTCATGAAAACTTCAAAATAGACAGGTCTGTTTTATTCCCACATTCTGACCAAGTCTGGCACATAGCAGGCACTAAGATACCTAATGAGTGGATTGTACTGTACATGCTTAAATGGCAGGTAGGGTGTAGTAGGGACTTGGAACCTTTCCTTCCCCTACTGCATGAATTAAAACCAAAGCCACAGACCAGCAGGTGGCGTGATTAAGGGCACTGGATTCCCAGATGGCCGACTGTGGTTCCAGTTTCAGACCTGGCAGCTTGCTTTCTCACTTTCTCCTCGCACATGCTCTCTCTGTTCCTCTCTGGTCAAATAAAAATAAATAAATAAATAAATAAATAAAAATAAAAACAACCAAAGCCACATATTGAAAGAGCATCTTTAGGACCAGCAGGTGGTGTGGTTAAAGCACTGGACACTCCCACGTAACCGACCACATTTTGAGTCCCAGACCTGGTGGCTTTCTTTCTTTCTTTCCTTCTGTGTGTCTTTCTCTGGTCAAATTAAATGAATGAACAAAATTAATTAAATCTTAATGTCAGCTAACACTTGGTGAAAGCCATCAGTGCTGGATAAATGTAACCTCGAAATTTAAAACCTTGGGCCAGCGCATAGCATAGCAGATCATGGTTTGAGCCTCAGACCCAGTGGCTTGAAACATGCTGGGCACGTATGTGTGCTCAAGATCCCAGGAGGAGAATGAAGAAGGGATTGTAGCATGGCCATCCTCCCCTATGGGGGGTAGAGGGTAAGGATTTCTCACTTTTCCTCTCACTGTCTCTGTCTCCCTTCAGCGAGTGCATATATCCTAAGGCAAAAATCTCAGCAACAAAAAATTTTAAAGTCTCTCTGCTCAATTTCTCTGCACTCAGTTTTCACACCCATCATATTAGATGTGAATGGCTACAGCCGTAGTTGGGAGGAAAGAGAGCTTAGTAGTTACTCTCTAGTAACTAGGCATAATTTGTAAATAACCATTTAAAAATGATTAGTTTTGGGACCAGAAGATGGTGTGGTGGTTAACGTACTCGATTTCCACATGGCCAACCACCTGAGTGGTTCAAGTCCCAGACCTGGCGGCTTCAAAATCATACCAGAATCATGTGTGTGAATACGTAAATCCCAAAAGGAGAATGGAGAAGGGCTTGTGACATGGCCACCCATCCTCCTGGAGGATGATTTCTCTTTCCTTTTCTTCTCTCTTTCTGGTGAACACATGCACCCTATCCAAAAGATTAATTTTTTTAAAAAAATGTTGCCAGACAGCAAGTGTGCTAAAAAGAGTAGGGGGTAAGAAAGCACCCCCAGAGGGCATAGCCACATAGCAATCCCTCCCTTCTCCTCCACATCTTCCTTCGGGATTTTGACCACACACACATACCCCAAGTGTTTATCAAACTGCCAAGTCTGCAACTTGAACTGCAGCCAGCCACATGGTAGATCTAACTGCCCCCTCCACCATGCTACAGTCTGGCCTGATTAGTTCTAATACCAACTTTAAATTCCTAGAGAATAGGCAGCCACTAAGATTAACAACAGCCTTGTAGGGTACAAAGCTGGGCTTCTGAGATATCTGTCATGTAGAGAGAGGAGTTAAGAGGGGTATCTACTTCAGCACTATTTGACACTGGATGTCATGAGGTTATGACATGTTGGTCTTCTTTGACCATTTATTAGTAAGGATAGTGCTAATAATACGATAGTGCTTTTAATTCTTAAATTCACCAGAAAATAACCCCCTTCATACATGTGTTGAATGAGTGGCATTTCTTCCTAAGTGGTATTTACTTGTGAATAAACTTATTTGGCCCCATGTGAAACTATACATTTAACTCAAGCATCTAGCTAGTTTTAGTAGAGGCCAAATCTATAGCAGTCATGAGTTATCATTTATTTCCTTCTGCTCCAATGGCCAAGCTCTTAATACTAGTAAGCACTATGTAGACAGTAACCTCCTGCCCCCCAAGTGAAGGCTGGCCGGCTCCCAACTGAGGGCATGGTAGAACAGGAAGGGAACAGCAGCCATGCAAGAGGAAAGCCATCCTTGATTCGACCCAGGGCAATCTGAGAAAGCAGCATTCAGAAATAAATAAATAAACACCCCAATGACACGTTCTGCCCCAGTCAGTGCAGCCACAGGAGAAAGGATGAATTCAATCCAAATGGTTATTTATTCTAAAACTGGAAGCTACTGTGCCTACATTTTTGCCAGAATGTTGTAATGAGAACAGGGGAGGAAAAAGTTACAGATGTAAACAATGACACAGTTACATTTTTTTTTTTAAATGGTAAAACCCTTTTTTACTGGCCACTTCCAAGAATGCTTTACAGGTTGTGCAAAAACATTTACAGGCTCCATGTGGTGTTTTTCTCACAAGCTTTTCCATCTACAAACAACTACAACAGACGTCTGATAAAACACTAAACAAGTCTTCTAAGGAAAACAAGGCTAGGGAGCCATCCTGTTACCATAATCCACATTTTCCCCTCTTAACATTATTTTTCATAATAAAGAGACAGACAGAAACAAAACCCAGACATCTACTGTTGTTGCTAGTGATCTCTTGGACTGAATCAACATGAATGTGGCAGTGTCACTCTCCACCCACCTAGGAAACATTTTTTAAAAGATGATTTTCTAGGGTCAAAAATCAACAGCAAGTACCCCCCTCCCAGCCCTCCCCACCCAAGAACCCAAAGTGGCCTAAGCTTTGTTCCCTCACCCTCAGGGCCCTAGCATTCCCAATGGTGGGCACCATAGAAGATGCTATTCACCGAAGAGCTAAACATCTGAAAAGAGGCACAGAGGGGCACGGCCTCTGCTTCAGGGAACTGAACTTTCTATTGTAATCTTGTCCTAAGGGAGTTTCTTTGGGCACCAGTTTTTTACCTTCTTGCTGTGACACTATGAACAAAGCTCTCTGAAACTTCCTTAAGGATGATGATAATGAGAAGTTAGTGGGTTACGGAAGGAAAAGTTCATGCAATCACTTCACCCACTGCCACACACAAAATCATCTGATGGCACCAGGAGGTTGCAGGTGCCGAGAGAAAGGACATCATTATGAGCAAACAAACTTATCTCCTACCAGCCCCCTGTTCCAGCCTCAGGGTCAGAGGCACGCAGAAGGGTGTGCCCAGTAGTCAGGGACCATCAGAGGGCCAGGAGAATGGCTGCATGACGTTAACGGTGGGAGAGGGAGAGAAAGATCAAGTCTCAGTACAACATAGCTAACAGAGAACTGCCCAGGTGAGGAAATGGGAGTGAAGTATTTTCCAGTAGCACAACCCAAGGTTCTCTTCATTGGGAAGTGCTGCGATACGTGGTGTTGGCCGAGTAAGCTCTGGGCTGGCACAATGCTCAGCAGGA